AATAGCCACATGGTGATAAGCCCTCAATATACGATACGATTCGAATCATCTGATGTCACCATTACGGAGTACAATTTGAGGAATTAAAGTTGGGTACTCTATCATAGTGTCACAATCTTTGTCGCTAAAAGCTTTGAACAAATATCTATGTATGTAGTCTTGAAAGGGTCATTTTGATACTTAAGTCGATACCTACTCGATCGGAAGTATTTAAGTAAATACAGGATAAAATAATGAAGGAACATCGGAAGGATTATGTACAAGGAAATCTTTTAGGAAAAGTGTTAGGAAATATTATTGGTGTTTGCTGTGTTGTATCAAAGTACACCGTATCTTACGTTTAACTTTTAGAACATGTCAAAGTTAACTTGCGAATATTGGCCGGCAGTTCTCCCTGCTCCGCTATGATAATTCAAGCAAAAACCAAAGAGTCCACCCTTGTAGAAATAAATTCAACATACGGCAAGGGTTAGTTGGTCTGCTTTCGTTGTATGTTGTAATAGGATTAGGCTCACTCGAATTCGTTGCTTAAAAAGAACTTAACTGGCTTTATTGATGCATGTAATTGATAATAATAAGTAAGGTCTCTTTAAATGCCTTTGCTACAGTGTCATGTCGTGTCGTCAGTACCGGAGCTGGCTGCCTGGACACACTGGCTACCGCCGCTCCTTCTGTGGGTGGTGGCGGCGCCGAGACCCGGCGGAACCGGCGCCGCCAGCTTGGCAGCAGCGCCGCTGGAAACGAGACCATGGCCGGCGGCCAGCCGCCGGCGCCGCTGCCAGCGCGAGCGCCGAGACCGCCGCCGGCGCGCCACATTGTCCGACCGAGCCGAGTCTGGCGCGGCGGAGACGACCGCGGCGCGCCGCGACGGCGGCGGCGGCGACAGGCACGCAGCGAAACAGGAAACCGGGGTGGACCGGGTATTTGACGGTTAGCTCGAGCTTCTCGGGGAGGAGAAGGGGTTTTGACATTTTTATAGTCTAGAGACTGCAAATGCAGAACTACATCATTTCTACAGCCTAGAAACGCAAGAACCTCGATCAAAATACACTTGAGCATGAATCCCAGTTCCTTGAAATGCTGCTCTTATGTCACATTTTAGATTGAGTAATGTGTATGATTCATTTTTTTATCGTTGATGCTTTATAAATATATTTTGTAAAAAGATGTAATATTTAACCCGCGCCCCGCTGGGGGGGGGGGGGCAGAATCTGCCCCCCTCCCGTTTTTCGCCAATAACTTCTAAACGCGTTAAGCCAGCGACGTCAAACTTTCAGTACCTTATCATACATCAATTTGACACGTTCCCTGAAAATTTGAGCGAAATCCGTCGGGAAATTTTTGAGAAATTGACGTTTTTGTGACGTCATGTTCGCCATTTTCGCCTCAAAAACGGCAAAATTTCAAACGCCGCTAACATCTTCATTTTTAAAGGAATCAAGACGTAACAAAAAAGGTTATACGTGATTCTACTTTGTCTATCAAATGGCTATCTCGGTTTTTTGAAAATTTTGGATTTTGGCCCAAATTTTTTCAAAAAACTGACTTTTTTGGGAAAATTATTATAAAATCCAAAATTTTGAGTGTATCAAAAAAACCGAAATATATGTCAGAGAAGTAGTCTATGTGCAACCTATATACCAATTTTTAGAAGAATCGGTTCAAAAATGTGGGAGTTATTCAAAATTTTATGACGTCACGACACACAAAAATTTTGAAAAATATTTTTTTTGGACGTTCTAGACCTCGTACGGAAACAAAAATAGCACCATTCAATTCGCCGTGAAAAACTGCATCAGATAGACACCTTTTTAGGCCTTAACAACCAACTTCAAAATTTGACCTCACTTGACCTGACCTTGACCTGACCTCGACCTGAAATTCATCCAGAGGTGGTCCATATCACTTATTGAGTGTGCCTATTGAATTCTATGAGTAAAATGACCCATAAAACATGTGTCGCACATGCCCTTTTCTATATTTTGTTTTTGGTGACCTGACCTGACCTGACCTGACCTTGACCTTGACCTTTGAATGACATTGTATGCAACGGATATTGTCTTGGTAGTCTAAGAACACGTTTTGGGCAATCAGTCTCAGTCCATTCTCCGGCAACTACGGTGCAAGGCCGATACTGTAGAAACTTACATTTTGTACCCTTGACCTGACCTTGACCTGACCTCTGACCTACTTAAGCAAAAAAATCGGGCTCTTTAGATCTGCCTTGTTGAGAGCTTTCGATTGCCGTTTTCCCCGTCTTTCTACGACCATCGGTTCGGAAGTTAGACAGGGGGGGCAGAATCTGCCCCCCCCCCCCCCCAGCAGGGCGCGTATGGCTGAATAGCCCAGCGGGGCGCGGGTTAATTCCACACGACAGAAATAATTTATCAGAGAACCATTCCATCCAGGGATGTGGAGCCGTGGAAATTTCAGACAGCTGCGGCTCCGGCTCTGGCTTCGGAGAAGTAAAATCAGCTCCGGCTCCGGCTCTGGCTCCGGGTGAAATGTCATGGCGGCTCCGTCTCCGGCTCCGGCTCCGGGCAAAAATGTGCCGGCTCCGGCGGCACCGGCTCCGGCTCCGCACCCCTGATTCCATCAGGCAGCACTGGCAGCCAGCAGAGTTGCTGAGCTAAAAGTACTCTGATGACGTTATGCAGATGCAATGCCGCAATTCACGAAGAGCAGTGCGCATATTGTGCCGCACTACGCCACCACCAGTAAGTGGATGCTGTGCCGCACTACACCACCAACAGATGTGGATACCTACTGTGCCAAGTGGTGCCAGTTTCAGAAAATGTATGCCCAATGTCCGTCCAATGTCCGATATTTTCGTTCACTGGCCGTCCAAAATTGTCCAAGCGAGCCATATGTCTAAAGATGTCCGAAAACTACGTAACAAGTTACACTCTACACTATTATTTGATTTGCATTTTATGTACTATTGTCTGCCCAAAAATTTAAATCATATCGCCGGCTAAATGGGCTATTATTGGCTATTGTAGAGAGCTATTATAGGCTTGTATCATTATAGGCTTATAGGCTGTGTACACGATTACTTTCTAAAAATGCTGAGGTGTAGCAAGCTGCCTTTGTCCAACCAAATTCCGAATTGGACATTGGACAAAATCGGATTTCCGAAGGTCCAAGTTGCGATTGGCACCACTACCGGATGCTGTGTCGCACTGCACCACCAGCGGTGGATACGTGCCGCACTACACCAACAGCAGATGTGAATACTGTGCCGCACTACACCACCAACATCGTTGGATACTGTACCGCACTACACCAACTGTGGATACTGTGCCGCACTACACCAACTGTGGATACTGTGCCGCACTACACCAACTGTGGATACTGTGCCGCACCACACCGACAGCTGTGGATGCTGTGCCGCACAACACAAACAGCAGTGGATACTGTGCCGCACTACACCGACAGCGGTGGATACTGTGCCGCACTTTACCACCAGCTGTGGATACTGTGCCGCACTACACCAACTGTGGATACTGTACCGCACTACACCAACTGTGGATGGATACTGTGCCGCACTACACCAACTGTGGATACTGTGCCGCACTACACCAACTGTGAATACTGTGCCGCACTACACCAACTGTGGATGGATACTGTGCCGCACTACACCAACTGTGGATACTGTGCCGCACTACACCGACAGCTGTGGATACTGTACCGCACTACACCAACTGTGGATACTGTGCCACACTACACCAACTGTGGATACTGTGCCGCACTACACCAACTGTGGATACTGTGCCGCACTACACCAACTGTGGATACTGTGCCGCACTACACCAACTGTGGATACTGTGCCGCACTACACCAACTGTGGATACTGTGCCGCACTACACCAACTGTGGATACTGTGCCGCACTACACCAACTGTGGATACTGTGCCGCACTACACCGACAGCTGTGGATACTGTGCCGCACTACACCAACTGTGGATACTGTGCCGCACTACACCAACTGTGAATACTGTGCCGCACTACACCAACTGTGGATACTGTGCCGCACTACACCAACTGTGGATACTGTTCCGCACTACATCGACAGCTGTGGATACTGTGCCGCACTACACCACCAACTGTGGATACTGTGCCGCACTACACCAACTGTGGATACTGTGCCGCACTACACCACCAATAGTAGATAATGTGCCGCACTACGCCACTTACAGTGGATACTGTGCCGCACTACACCAAAACTAGTAGATAATGTGCCGCACTACACCACTTACAGTGGATACTGTGCCACAATACACCACCACAGCTGTGGATACTGTGCCGCAGTACACCATCAACAACAGTGGATACTGTGCTGCAATGCACAAACAGCGATGGATACTGTGCCGCACTACACCAACAGCTGTGGTGGATACTGTGCCGGACTACACCACTAATAGGTGTGGATACTGTGTCGTACTACACCACTAACAGTGATACTGTGCCGCAATACACCAACCGTTGATACTGGTGCCGCACTACACTGGCAGCGGATACTGTGCCGCACTACACAACCAACAGATATGGATAATTGGACACTGTACCGCACTACACCACCATCAACAGCAATGAATACTTTGCCGCACGACTCCAACAGCGGTGAATACTGTCCTGCAGTGAATCTTCAATGACGCAGGCATAAACTACGGTTACCAGTGCAAGACTTCTGATAATATTAGATATGTTATATGCATTGAACAGTCACCACTTTTATGTGGGATTGCCAGAAAAGAAGGAGAAACTCTCCGTAAGTGGCATTCTCCTTTCGAATTTCATCCATAATCCGCCATTGTAAGACAGCCAGACAATTCGTATCGAAGTTGAAATGAAGAGAAGTAGATCCTGAATATAAATGTTCTGAATTTCGGCTTTAAATCATTTCAAAGTACCGTATGCAGGCCTTAAAATGTCCAACTCCCCTCAGAAGCCCGCCCTCTCCGTGTTCCGGGAACCTCGTCGGTGTCGACAGAGCCCGACGGACTCGACGGTTCGGTGGCCGGGCGGGCGGGCAGGCGGCGGCGGCCAGGCCAGCTTCCAGACAGGCGAGCCGCGGCGGCAGGTGGCGGCCAGGCTGGCCCGTATAAGGTGTGTCCGCCGCCATTGGCTGCCGGGCTGCCGGCGGCGGCTGCGATTGGTCAGCGCCGACCCGTCCGGAGGCGACCTGCTGGAGCCGCGGGCCACGGCTCTCCAGTGGACTCGGGCCGTCCGCTCCTCACTGCTGCCTGCTCACCCGCCTCCCGACACTCCAGACTAGCACAATGGTGAGTGTCGTCCGCCTTCCTCTCCGCCTGACCGGTCCACAGTGGAGCTGGCCTCGCCTCTGGAGGCTGAGACCCGGCCCAGCTCCGCCAGCGAGCTTATGAAGCTCTTGGGACGCTCGAGGCTGCGAGACAAGAGGAAAAGCGGCTGAGACGCGCCGCCCCTCACCGCGGCGCGTGCTTGGAGCGCGAGACTCGTGCTGATCTGTGTGCGAAGTGGCGATGTTAGCACCGGAGGGCATGTGAGCCCGGGATGCGAACGATTCGAACCACCTGAGTCTCGGCGTCCATTCCGCCGGCTATGTGCGTCAGTGAGTGCCGACGTATGATAAATGGGACTGCCCAGACAAACGGTTTAACACATAGTGAAGTCCTTGCAAGACAAACAGATAAAATAGTGTGCGGCGTACTGAGAGTATTAAACACATGTGATGTGGTCTTTATATCAACACCCAGCATATTTAACGTATCATGTATAGTTGAATCAGTACCTAACCTAGCTGTCCATTAGCAACATCCAGCTACTCTTCGAGCTTTTGGTGAAAGTTCTTCCACCTTTATTGCTGTTAATGTCTTAAATAGATTAAATAAGCCCCACTGAAGCAATTCTTATCCACATGATGTATTGCAAAGCATTACGTGTATAAAAGTCTTTGCGAAACCCACAATATTCACAGACTTCAGATTACCTTTGAACCCTTGAAACACTACTCAGAACTACAAGAAGCCATGGATCTCCATGAATATAAGGCATACAAAAGTACTGGCAATAGAGATAAGAGCCCGCTCTATCGTGGGCTTTCATTTTCAGAGAAGGGGCGTTAACATTTGCTCACATACCAACCTTTAAGTGATTGTCCTTTCCACTGCATCACTTCAGCAATGTCACTTATGCCCATCGGCCCGTCAGTTTATCTGTCGGCCTGTCATCCAGTCAGTCAGTCAGCCAGACAGTCAGTCAGTCAGTCAGTCAGTCAGTCAGTCAGTCAGCCCGCCTCTCTGTCTTTACTTACGTGTTTGTCCGTCTGTCCGTCTGTCCGTCTGTCCGTTTGTCCGTCTGTCCGCCTGTCCGTCTGTCCGTCGTCTGTCTGTCAGTCTGTCCTCGTCTGTCTGTCAGTCTGTCCGTCCGTCTGTCTGTCTGTCTGTCTGTCTGTCTGTCTGTCTGTCTGTCTGTCTGTCTGTCTGTCTGTCTGTCTGTCTATCTGTCTGTCTGTCTGTCTGTCTGTCTGTCTGTCTGTCTGTCTGTCTGTCTGTCTGTCTGTCTGTCTGTCTGTCTGTCTGTGCCCGTCTGTCTGTCCGTCTGTCCGTCTGTCTGTCTGTCCGTCTGTCTGACTGTCCATCTATCTGTCAGTCAGTCACCCACCATCCTGTCGCCCCTCTCACTCTCACTCTCTCTCTCTCTCTCTCTCTCTCTCTCTCTCTCTCTCTCTCTCTCTCTCTCTCTCTCTCTCTCTCTCTCACTCTATCTCTCTCTCTCTCTCTCTCTCTCTCTCTCTCTCTCTCTCCTCTCTCTCTCTCTCTCCTCTCTCTCTCTCTCTCTCTCTCTCTCTCTCTCCGTGCTTCCGTCCTTCCTCTGTCTCTCTACCTGTGGAGCTGGTCACCTGCCAACTATGTGCCGTTCATCATTGGAGGAGGGAGGGGGAGGTTAGGGGGAGTGTCAACTGTCACCGGCGCCGCCAAATGTGACATTCCTTCCCCTCTCAACCCAGTTTCGCCCATCCCAGACTCTTTACTGGTGCAAAGCAAGGGAGAAAAAGAGCGAAAATGCTGTTGCAAATGTATAAACAGATAGACAGTAATTTGTAATTATTAGCAGAGGTGTCAGATATTCTTACATAGTAGAAGTGACGGTATGTGGTTTTACAGCACAGCGCCAGCGCTTGTGGCGAGGACAGGAATAGAATGACAGCGGCGGACGATTCGGAGAAGCCCACACCCAAAGGTGGCGGTCAATGTGGCTGTGTCCCTTCAGCAGAGAGTAGCCGGTGTATTGTGTCGCTCCTTATATCTGAGCTGAGGCGCATAGAGACCCGCTCTGGCTCTGTGTAGATCTGTGTTAGCAGTCTACCCTCAGTCCGTCCTTCCCGTGACTGGAAACGCAGACGCTATCTTGTGTGGCTGGTAGTGCCTGGTCGCTTTTCCCGTATAGAGCTTAAAATGTGGCCTATAGAAATTAATAATGTGGGCAATGTCTAGCTTAGCTCTGCATTCAGTTGCTGGCAGACATGAGGCTTTGCAGCCTTCATAGATGATAGAAACTAGAAAGCTGTAATATGAAATTGTTGTCTAGTGTGATAGCTTCCTATATATGGCCTAAGGGAATGTTGCAGGTGATTCAGTGATGATTATTTGAATATTCTTTGCAACGCTGGAGTCAGGAATGTCTTGCTGTAACTAAATTTTATAATTTAATCATTTAACTATTAAATATATCTGTAAATCATCTCTTAAAACGACAATGCGACACTAGCTAATTTAGTTCATAAAGCTTCGTTCCCATCTTTTCCTAATTGCTATCTAAACTCTACATATATCGCCACTAATCTGTCACTCCCTGAAGACCCGCTTACCATTCAAACCATCTCGTTCATTGCATTGTCTGCCGCTGTTGCAGCAAATGAGCACCGATTGACCTGCGAACTATCTGTCGTTGCGATTGAACGGCTCGACTCACAGGCACGCAGTCTGCCGTTTTACACCTCGGTGCTCGCGTTCGCGCAATGCCCTGCCGATAGTGCCAAAGGGTCGTACCGTCGTCACGGTATGCACTGTGTTACGTCAAACGGCATTGCTCGGAATGCGAGGTGAAACGACGAGACATTAGCATTGTCAGAGTTCAATCGGTTCCGTTAGGGGCTGTTGAATGGACAAATTTGTTGGAGAACGGCCCTGCGTTATTCAAGGAGCCACTGAGGGCGAGAGCTGCTCAGGGGTTGTCTGTCACAGCTGCGGGGCTGTCTTAGCTCGCTCAGTTCCGTGGTCCTTTCCACCCCGAGCCGGCCGTCAGCGTGACGTCGGCATGCGTCGGCCGCGGCGTTGTCTGGCGCGGCGCGGCTGTCTCGGTGTAAATTTAGCCGCGCACCGCTGCTGGCGACCGGCCAGAGGGGTTTATTTGGTGGCGAACTAGGCCGGCGAGGCGCCGGTGCTCCAGCCCGCGACTCGCCCCGCCCTGGAGCTGGGAACATGATACCACCACCACCGGACGGAGGTGCGCCCGTGACGGAATTTGCCGGGGCGCAGGGTTCACTAATGGGGGATTAAAAGGTGGGGTGATGTGGTGAATCACGAGAAATGGCTTACAGAAATGGGATGAGGCTACGAATCAGCATGCAAGTTTCAAACGCCACGAAAATTGTCAACGATGTATATTACTAGGTTCTGTCAAGGCGGTTCTGTGAACCTTTCTCAGATACCTCATACTTGACTTTATTTCATTTTTAATGTGACGTCTTGTCCTCCTTAACGTTGTCAAATATCAGCCGGATATGAAAATTCAATCCATGCCTCTAACATTATTCATAGATAATGTTTTACTGGGTTGGCCGCATATTTAACGGACAACCATGTCAACAAGAAGGAAGTGACGTAAGGCCAAGTTCAAACATTTAACGTGAACATGGATTTATTCTAACACGATGGGTCCCCAGACGTCTCGAACGGCGACATTTCCGCTGGCGAGTCTTCTGAGTCACTCTCGGTTTTCATTATAAATCCGGTTGATGAGCTGCATGTTTACATATGTCAACATCCTGTCACGGATATAGATATCTGTCTCATGAGCGGTTGGTTCTAGCGGCCAACATAATGCATTACGGTTTTGAATCAGTATGGTTTCTGCTGACACATCCGAACCAAAATCGAAATACAACTATGCCATTATTGGACGTAGGCGAAATATTTAAAACGCATATTGCCCCGGATCACGACGTGAAAAAGATGTTAAAATATTGTGATGCTTAAACTTAACAACAATTTCCATATACCGTGCAATGTGCCCGACACACCATTGCGGCATTAAACTGACCGCCCGTTCTCCCTTTCGCGTTTCAGGCTGACGACAAGGAGAAGAAGAAGAGGAAGAAGAAGAAGGAGACCGAGGAGACCGATGCCGCGCCTCCGGCCCCGGCCCCCGAGCCCGCCAAACCCGCCTCCGCCAAACGCTCCAGCGTAAGTGATCTTTGCTTGCTCTTCACAGTTCACATGATGAGCGCTTTTGGAAAAATAAGCAACATGATGTTTGTATACAAATGTTTTACTGCTTAATATCTGTTGTTTTGTCGTTTACCTTAAAAAACAGAAGCTAGTTAAACAGCACGGAATAAACGGTTACGTTAAGTGATGCAATTAATGGCACAAAATTGGATGTTTTTCGCTATGAAAAGACGCAAGTTGATGATTAAGAATCATTAGTCTGGGCGAAATCACCTTTAGAATTTCAACTAGTTTTTGCTTGTAACATTTAATACGGATTTAATCGTAATTACCATTAAAATCGGTCGCCTCTTAGAAAAGAAAAGAAGTTGTGGCGCCCCGATTATTAGCAATTATCGATGATTCACGAAGGATTTCAAATAGTTTAACCCACTCTCCTTTTCATCCACAGAGCAAGCGGTCGAGCAAGAAGAAGGGCAGCAGCGTCTTCTCCTGCTTCTCCCAGCAGCAGGTCAATGAGTTCAAGGAGGGCTTCCAGATGATGGACGCCGACAAGGACGGCATCCTCAACAAGTCCGACATCCGCAGCGCCTTCGACCTCATCGGCAAGATCGTCTCGGACAAGGAGCTGGACGAGATGCTGGCCGACGCGCCGGGCCCCATCAACTTCACCATGCTGCTCTCCATGTTCGCCAGCCGGCAATCGGGAGAGGCCGACGACGACGACGTCATCGTGGCCGCCTTCAAGGCGTTCGACGAGGGCGACGGCACCATGAACAGCGACTCGCTGCGGCACTCGCTCATGACCTGGGGCGAGAAGTTCACCGCCAAGGAGGTGGACGACGCCTTCGACCAGTTCGACATCGATGATGCCGGAAAGATCGACCTCGCCGGCGCGCTCGAGCTCCTCGTCGGCGGCAAGAAGGACGATGAGGGAGAAGCGGCATAATTTTCGGTGAGAAAACATTCGCATTTTCCATGTTTGCCGTCATCCCGTCCATTACTTAGATGTTTTTATCGATCGAATTTGTTTGACATTTCCCTTTTATCGTGAATTAGAGGATTTCAGCTCAATCCGTATTCGGAGCTAAGAAAACCCTAGATCAGCAAAAATTTATGGCGGAAAGTGCATAGCTAGTTTCATCGCTGAATAACGTTGGATGCTCTTTACCATGCATCTTCGCTTTTCTTATGTTATCGAGATCAGTTTTACAAAATTCAGTCCGTTTTTTGCTCTCTAACATCTCATTCCCGTCTGTCGGCAGCTCCAGCACATTTCCACGTACCTCGCGGCGCACCGCTGGCCATCCTCAGCGGGTGACCAGCGGCCGTCGCCGACGACCGGCCGTACCGGTCGGGGAGACGTCGCGTCGCCGGCCGGGCGGGGCGGGAGGCGCAGAGGCGCAGTCCCGCACCGCGCCCGCGCCGGCAACTGCGCGCGACCTGTTGAATTTGTTCACCATCATGTGTCGGCATGGCCCCGGCGTTCAACCGGTGCTCAGGACTCTGTCCTGTTGAACGTGTTGTGTGGACCTGCGACAGATAAATTCGACATCCTGTATTCGGTGGTGTTTGTTGTGTGGAGATGGTATAAGGAAGAGCGGAAGAGAGTTAGGAATTAGGATCATGGAAGTGGAACATGAGATAACGACACCTATTTCTGCTACGTTGTCGATTTTCATTTAAGTGATACGCTATGATATATCGGATTAAAAACAGATGGAAGATGATACGATGCATACTGAGTTGAGACGAAATTCATTAAATGTATCACCATTTAAGTTCGACTCTCAGTAATTTCTTCTTTGGATCGTTTCCTCCTCAGCATTCAGGAGCAAAAACTCGGAATGAACACGATAGTGTTTTATTGTTTTGGTCACCTTATTTACAAACACTGCTGGAAGCACACAGTCATGAAACTAGCAACAACGAACAGCAGTCTACACCTCATGGAAATACTTTGCCGTCCGCCAGTAGGCCTATCGATATACTCGGTAACAATAAATACGGATGATGACCATACAATGAAGTCGGGAGGACGGAGCGAGCGTACGGGCCCGGCGCGTCAGCCCGACGAGAGTCCGGTATTTCTGAGCTACTGTGCAGCGGGGGCAGATTTGGTTCGTGTTGTAATGGGGGTAAAACGTTGAGCATATTTCGACGCTTGCACCCACTCTCCCGGCGGTAAACTCCTCACGGACGCACTGTGGAGCCCGATCAACGCTGTGGGCTCGTCATGTTCCTACACAACCCACCAGGTCACTGCAGAGGCATACTGTCCGTGCTCACGACACACACGACCGCGGGGCCGGGTCGCGGTCGGCGCTCACAGTTCCACACACCTTACAGCGCTCTCAGACACACCACTGGACCGATCGGTCCGCCGGTGCGGACCAATCGGTCCTCGGGACACTCCGCGCGGCCTGCCGCACGGCGGCTCGGGGTCCGCGCAGAGTATTTGACCGCGGCACCGCGAGTCTCCCCGGGGCACGGCTCAGGTCAGGTCGCCGCAGAGCAGAGACCTGCGTCACGCGTCCACCGCTGACCTAGAGGATGACCTCAGGGCTGACCTGACGCCGGCTAGGTCACGCTCAGGTCACAGTGGCCGGGGTCAGGTCAGCGGCTGGTAACGGCTCTTCTCAGTTGCACACTCCGTTCGGACAGTTCACTGCAAAGGAAGACCAGCATCGTCAGTATACATATGCCTTAGCTTTTAAATCGCTCGTACAGATAATACATCACAATAACAGAATACAGGTTTTTATTATCGCTTGGGTAATGACAAAGGCTTGCTTGGGAAGTTAAATGGCAGTCCACACATTTCCTCCTATATGTTTTTATTAATGCTTTCAGACACCCCAAAGGAAATCCACATATGTTCCATCTATAATATGCTCGATATGGACACCTACATGCTGAGCGTATTCCAGCTCTCAATCTTTCCACCCAGTCTATCCCTGCCTGTCTCATCTCCCCCACCCTCAGCGTCACCTAGGCGCCACCCCAGCCGCTGTCAGAGCCACCTACCGCAGTGTCCGAGCCGGTAAGCGTGGCCATCTGGGCACTTCTGGCAGCACAGCATCGGCTCGGCCTTGGTCCGCTTGCCCTGGCGGCTGAGCACGGGAAGCACGAGCTCAATGTTGTCGTAGTCGATGAGGGTCATGAAGGCGTTGTCCTCGGTGACGGTGCTGAGCGCCTCGCCGACGATGTCGACGAAGCCCTCCTGGTCAGTGATGTTGTAGACGGGTGTGTCGATGGTGAGCACAACCTCGGTGAGAGGAGCGCCGTCCTTGTCCAACTGTGAGAGAGGAGAGGGTGGTTAGGTGGCCGATAAATGAAGTGAGAATCAGTAGCATGGGCACTTAGCAGTCTGTAAAACATTGCTGCGCTACTTCAAGGAACTAGAGACGACATCGAAGAGATATTCGATCGGCCAGTCCAGTGATCCCATAAGAAACCTTTTTGTTTCAGTTTTGCCAACTTCTCCCCGCCAAGAAAGGTAAGAAGGAATCCCACTAAAACACGCTGCTTATATTCCCCGCGCGTTCCCTTACCGAGTTGGTTTCCTCCAGGTTGGAGATGCCGCACTCCTCCGGGTACGGGCAGAAGATGTCGTTGTATTTGTAGACGAGTCCATCGAACTGGTGTTTCAGCGACTCGACCGAGTTGCGCTGGTAGGTGATCTTGTACTGCAGGTTGGCAGAGAACACAGGTACAATCTCTGTGGGAAGAGAAGCAAGCCGGTCAGTGGGTTCGCGGGATGGATCAAGCAATGGGTGATGTGAGCATATGGCGTAATATCTATAGCTAAAAGCTGTCAATTCTAGCAGCTTTTAACGTCCAGACACATAAGAAAATCTCTCTGCTATCCTCAACTAGCTGAAGAATGAACGCAATAATTAAACTCGCGCAATATGATTCATTATAACCGCAATTAAAGTTCATAAAACCAATTGAAAACGCGAAAACAAAAACATCCGGTAGCCCGAGGCTCTGGCTACCACAGGCAGCCTCACGCCACCACATGGCAGCAGCCCACTCACGGTAGCACTCTGGCGCGCTGCCGGCCGGGCTCCACTCGCCGCCGGCGCCGCACGAGTACTTCTTGGCGGGCGGGTCGTAAAAGCCGTAGCCCTCCTCGCACTTGGCCTGGCACATGGAGCCCTTGCTCCACAGAATGTCGTTGTTACAGTCGCCATTGGCGTTCACCTCAGAGACACCGCGGCACAGCGTGGTCGTGTGCAGAGGCGCCACGAAGTTGGGGCACGTCTCCACGTCTGTGGGAGAAGAGAACGGGGAGGGTGAGATGTGAACCATGTTTCATGGGGATGGTCGGCATAAATGCGCTCACAAGCCGATTAGAGACAAACGTCCCGTTCAAGGTTATGTGTAACATGATCCTACATCAGTAACACAAGCAAGTAGCAACAATAGGGACTGTAATCTGAACATCGGTGAGATAAAAATTGATGTTCCGGGCAATTCTGGTCATAACACAACTCAACATCGCGAACATCACAGTGACTTCGCTGTTTCGTTTTTAAACGATCTGCATTCTTCGCTCCCCTCCATCCCCTTTTTACACGACTGTATCGCTAGCCGACGAGGTAATATTGCTTGTCACTTGACCCCATTTATCCAAGATAGGAATCTTGTGTTGCGGTTGCCTGATGTGACAATGTTATCATTAACTTCGTGACGGAAAATGGATCGAATGGCTCTACACGGATCCAGCTAGCAGAATGGCGTGTGCCGTTAATAAACCCAATTACGAATTACAGACAGGTAACTGCAGAAACAGACAATAGAGATAATAATTTCCAGAGATATCCGACAACAGAATCACGTATCGTGCATTTCGGTTTCCTATTCGTGTCTTATCTACGAAGTGTGATTGTTGTTTTGATTTAAAGACAGATGTCTAATGAAATAATCGTGAAGTTCAATGCAATGAGCTTTCTAACACAGTTTTCCTGAGATAGCCCATAAATGCCAGAATATTTCACGACTGCACTACACAACTCGATCAACATTGGCGACTGGCCACGGCCGCGACTGCCCTTACTCTACACTGGCCTCCTAAGTTAGTGAAGCACTGCCGTGAAGGCACTGCCATCAACAGATTGAAGGACTTTTTGTGGTTGGCTAACACTACAGCTCACTCCGTCGCAGCGCTTCTCTCAACTCGCCCTTGCCCAGAGCTTAGTAAAACCGCCATCGCTACCACTGCTGACAGATAATACCGTCCACGGGACCTTGGCGATGACTTTGAACGTACTCCAGCCGCACAGCAATGAGACAGTGACGAGCAGCAAATATTGCGATCACGTTCATTCCTGATGGGAAGACTCAGGACAGACGACTAAAAAACGATACAAAAACTCCTAACATTGAAACCATCGAACGCTAATGCAGCAGTTTATCCAACCCACCCAATATCAAAGCTATCAAGCTACGTTGACTAGAGTTAAAATAAGCACTCACTGAATCATGTCACGGAATTTTCTCCCCATAATTACAACACAGGCAGGGTCACGTGTCATTACGTACCGACAGCCTGGTTGATGGTGGCAGCCGGTCCCAGGTTGGAATCCTCCAGCACAGCCGCCACTGAGAAGGTGTAGTCCACACCGGGACGGATGCAGTAGTCACACACGGCCGGGTTCAGGTCGTACGTGCACTGCTTCTCGTCACACTGAGAGTGGAGAAGACGGAGAGCGAGGTCAGAAACGGTTGAGAAACGGCGACAGAGGGAACGCGAGATAAAACGACCAGGGACCGCGAGATATATTCTAGTCATAAGAAGTGAATAGTGATATAAGCTACAGAGAACGGTAGATATGAGTGATCTGGATTCGTACGGTAACTAATGGGAAGGAACCGGCTGTTCTCGACTTTACACTTTCACATGAAGTGAATGAATGCTCCACTTTCTAACATGAAGCCTGCGTTTCAAACACTAAGGTAGAGCATTACCTATATCAACCTCAATGGCTAACTAAACAAAGCGCGCTAGTCGATAGCATTGAGTCGAAAACAAAGACGACTGTAAAAGGTTCAAAGGCCGTGCCGACATACGGCAGCTGCCCACTGCTGCTACAACGCCGTCCGTTCAAAACAAAGCTCTCAATTTCAGACGTGCTTGGGCGGAGGGCAGCACAAGCCAGGTCATTCATTAGGGAGAGAGAGTGAACGCATCTCCGAAACGGAAAAGCAGCTGCGCCTGGCTGAAGCGCATACCAATAGGACTCAGTGCTAACGAAATTGCTGAACGTAAAATCAGAATAGACGTAGCGTAACTAGGATAGAATGCGTATTTCATAATGAGCGAGCAAATCACCCCCGAAAGAATTGCAGACAAAGACCCTAGCCACAGTGGGTTGTTTCTGACCACCCGCAGGTGACGTCATCGCCATCGGTCATACCTTGATCTCTGTGTCGTAGCTGGTGGTGCCTCCGAGCACGACCATGATGTAGGAGTTGAGGTCGCCCTCGCAGGCCGGTCGGTCCCAGGTGATCCGCACCCAGGAGACGAGCTCCGAGACGCGCAGGTTCTGCGGCTTGCTGGCCTCCGGGGCAGACGCTGCGGGAAGAGGGAGAGGGAGTTAGCGAGGGATCGCTAGAAAACGGATCAAGAGAGATTGAAAATGGGAGACGTTGCAGGGAAGGAAAGAGAGGGGACAGGGAGAGAGAGATAGGGAGAAAGAAAGAGAGAGAGAGAGAGAGAGAGAGAGAGATAGAGAGAGAGAGAGAGAGAGAGAGAGAGAGAGAGAGAGAGAGAGAGAGAGAGAGAGAGAGATGGGGGCGATGGAGAGAGGGAGGGATAGGGTAGGTAGAGCTTAGCCGCTGGCTGAGGGGAAGAAAAAATAACATAAGTGGGAGGAAACAGAGCTACGAGCAGGGCTGCGGAGTCGATGGATTTTCGGCGACTCCGACTCCGACTCCGACTCCGGCTTTCAAAGACCATCTCCGACTCCGACTCCAACTCCGGGCGGAATTGTCGACTCCGACCGACTCCAACTCCCGACTCCGACTCCGCAGACCTAGCAGGGCTGCGGAGTCGACAGATTTTCGGTGACTCCGACTCCGACTCGGGTTTCTAAAATCGACTCCGACTCCGACTCCGACTCCGGTCACAACTGTCGACTCCGACCGACTCCGACTCCGATTCCGACTCCGACTCCGCAGCCCTGGCTACGAGTGCCGTGGGAAACGCAGGATTGAGTGTTAAATGCTGTTGACAGCGAAGGTGTTCCGGTAGATTGAAGAAACCAGCTCGCTGGCTCGATTATCCCTCACGCACAGATCAATTGGCCAGATCTGAACCTCAGATACCATCAGCGCCGGCTGTTAACCCCGAGCCAATCAAGTAGAGTGAGGGAGAGAGAAAGACCCATCGCGCACATCCGGTACAGAGTGCGGCACCGACAGCCGAAGAAAGTAACGCCGGGTAGTAACACGGCGGGGAGCTCCCTTTAACGAGAGATATGGGCCGGCCACGCCCCAGACATGAGCCGGGACCTCGGGCCGGACCATCGGCACCGCAAGGCACACACACAGCCTGGAATCCGGTCCGGTAATGGCCATAGTCGAGCTTATCGAGAGATCGTGAATCGGGAGCGATCTCTCATGGGCGATCGCCTAGTGCCCTAATTTGTCCCCATCTATCTCACCACTGAATGTGGCGGTGATTGGTCAATTTAGGGGCGATAAAAACAAGGTCAGAGTTTGCTGCCGGCGTTCTTACGTGACAGATGAAGCTGAAAGGTTGAATCGAACTGCTATGAGATATGTACGTGCAACACAGCAATCATGCCGAACCGAATCAGAACATCAAAGCGCAGAGTTTTGAAACAAGTCGTTAGCATTTGAAAAGCCCTGTCGTGCCGAGCCAAGGTCCGTATTCATTGCTCATTTTCTCCAGCTGCAAATCATCGAAAACAAGTTCGGCAAACAGCCTCCCAGAGAGGGAAATTTCCTCCTAAATATCTAAGCCCACTGCAGCGGGGCTCGTATAACATTTCATAATGCCACGCCATATTACTTCGGACGGCTATCCGATTGCATCACAGGTCCACTCCAGTTTCAGGGCGGGGCTATGAATCGCCGACAGAAGCACGCTGCATGGGTGGCGTAATACCGTTTAGAACCACGCACTCGGTCGCTGATTATCTGGACAATCGCGGCGGCGCACCAGGACGGCGAAATTAGCGCGGCACGGCGCTTTGATGCTCCGCTTAGGCCATCTCGTGCCGCACCTTCCCTCAAATTGAGCCTAGCGCTCGGCTTTGCTCCAGCTTCACCTCGCTCGCCAAGAGCCTCTCGTGATTCTAAAACGGCGGCTCCGTGCTTTGTCGTGAGCCTAACTCGCTGGCTCTCGTTCCCGGCTCTGCCGAGTGCTCTGTCCGCCGCTAAGCGCCGAGAAGAAAGGCTCGTGTGGGCCGTGTGAAGAGCGGTCGCGAGTCGAGCGGAAAGAAAGCCGTTTAATGGGCCGACGGTCGGTGCTTCAGAGGAAGACACTCACGACACGACGACGCTCGAGGTGACGGGTGGCCACCCCCGCCCCCGCCCAGCAGTCAGCGCCGCCGCCCACGGCTGTCGTATACCGCCCAGCGGGAAGAGGTGTGACTCAACTAAGGCGACCCTTAGCTCCCACTGCCAACCCGAACGGTGTTTTTACCTCAGAGCAGCGGGGGAGAGAGAGAGAGAGAGAGAGAGAGAGAGAGAGAGAGAGAGAGAGAGAGAGAGAGAGAGAGAGAGAGAGAGAGAGAGAGAGAGAGGGAGAGAGGGAGAGAGAGAGAGATTTGTGCAGAGCTCACTAAGGTTCCATGCTTGTCGATGGGCATCGTCCGTTGGACAAATGGGGTACAGTCGGATACTGTCCAGTGGACAGCTTGAGTGCCGTGTGACAATTTGTGATGGATATTTGAGGTGGCGTGAGACACTTCAGTCCGATATACCAATCACCGATGGTGAAAGTATCGGTCTATTGGTCAGCCAATAACCCTAAACTAGACCGGTAGAGTGCTGATCTGTGACGTCAAAATCAGGACAAATATACGAATCAAACGGAACCACGTAGCGATATATCTCTCCCCCCCCCTCTCTCTCTCTCTCTCTCTCTCTCTCTCTCTCTCTCTCTCTCCGCAGCCATTGTTTTCTTGATAATCTTGATTCATCATAGCATATCTCGTGTTAGGTACAGCAATTAGCTTAGTGATCAAGCATACCATCAAGGATTTCAGCAATCCTACAGATAAAACTATTCAATCCCTGTGTGAAAAGTGTAAGTATAATTTGCGATGAATTACGATTACTTGATAGCGTCCAGTCGTCCAGGATAACAGCAGAAGTCTTGTACGGTGCATACTTCATACCTGTTTTAACTCATATCTTGTGAGCTTTTATCTGCAGTGTATTATAACGTTGGTATCGTTAGCATTAGCGTCGCCACGGGGGGGCAAGCGGGGCAGCTTGCCCCCCCAACCTCGGACCGGGCACCCCCTGAGATCGATGCAGATCCGATGAGATTTTCGAGTCGGGAAAAAATGGGGGTACCTTTCGGAGAATGTCTGTGAGGTCAGACTCGGTTGGAGCGTGCAGTTCAAACAAGAGTCAGAGTCGCAGTCGCCAAAAATCTTCAAGACTCCGACTCCAGACTCAGAAATGCCAATGCTGTGATTCATTCCATGTTCCTAGTTGGTTCTTTATTACATTTTATAGCTGGTTTTCATAAGTTTTGGAGCCTACTGACACATAATTTTCGTTCAAAGCGTGACACGAAATCTTCGCGGCCTTTCATAACTCTCGCCAAATGTCTGTGACAGGCTCAACTACCGTTCAAGTGCCGCAGGGCTCATGAGCTTGCTTTTCACACAGGCTCCTAAGGAGCTCCACTGAGCCCTGAAGAAGCTTTCAGAGGGCCCAAACCGGCCTCTGAAAGTCCCACTGGTGTCCATGCTCTCTGAGGGCCCATAACAGGGATCTTTGAGGGATCGTTACAGGGATCTTTGAGGACCTTATACATTATGTAGACCTCTGAAGGGACACACGAATCTTTGAGGATGCCTTCGAAAATTTCTGAGAACCTTAATTGGCCTCGGATAGTTCAGTCGAACTTTTCAGCGACAGACTTTGGTAACCCCAAGCCGGCATCTGAGGGATCACAACTAACGTGCACCTCTGAGGGCCGCAAGACATGTTTCTTATGTCCCTACGTAGGGTCTTAAGGGATTCGACACAGACCCCGACGGTTCACACTGTTATCCGAGGGCTCCAGGCTTACCCTGGGCCCAGTCTCTTAGCGCCCGCCGACTACACTGGCTTCTGTGGGTCCCACCTTGGGCTCGGAAAGCCCCAAAGCACCACATACACGTAAATATTTGGGATGACCCACGCCAATCTCAGGTGGCCTAAGCAGGCTTCTGCGAGTCCACACTGATCATGAGTGGCCTGAAATGGCTTGGAAGTCCCAAGCCTATCTCTGAGGGATCCCTTGCCGCTATGCCGTGCGTAACGTTTGGTTCCGTTAAACATTTTTTGTTCACGTTTGCAGCGCTTCCCTTCACACGAAAAACGAGAAACGTTTTGTTCACACTCGAGTGAACAAAACACTTCCTCTCACTGGAGCAAAGATGAATTATTTCCGATTCACACTTCCGAGATTCACTCTCAGTCTCCGGCGAATGCCCAACTTCGCTACAATCGGCGGCTGGGATAAGCCCTATGCATTTCACGTAAAACCTCTGCATGCTTGCGTGAATGGAGGTTTTAGCAGGGTGATCGGATTAAATGGAGCGTTTGTCACCTTTTTCTGGGTAATGATCATGAGCGACGAGAGTCTGCACAAGGGCCCTCTGCAGTGCGTCGGCAACGCAGCCACTGTAATTCTACCGGTCGTTTTTGTCCAGAAATTTGAAAATTTCTAATTTCTCTGTAAAAAAAAGTTGCATGTCATAGCTAGAAGGAAAACTTTGTCACCATCGAATTCTTCGCACCATTGCGCGTCGAACAATATGTAAAACGAGTGAGTAACGACTGGGGAAAGGCAAGATTTAACACAAAAGTTGATTTTGCCCCCCCCAACCGAAAATCTCTGGCGACGCCTATGATCGTTAGCATATCTCAACACGGTATGATTGAATTATCTTTTGAAACATGATTATGCATAATCAAGTAGAATACCATTGCTCAACATTCCAGTACTAAATATCGTTTTATCAATGAAATGAAAAGCGACTTTCATTTGGGTTGTAAGTCTGTGACAAACGAGATCCAGGCACTGTTGTGCAATGAACAATCGAGGTAAATGTTTCGAAGGTAAGTTTCCTCACAGTGTATATTAAAAAACAACAGAATAGCGTCGATGAAAATAAGCAGATTAACTTATGCGAATTCAGCCTTTCATGCGATGCTTCCGACAGCACGTGCAGTTATGTGTCGTATCGTGTCTGACACTTGTAAGTTGAAATCAATCACGCCTTATGGACATGTTCTGACTACATAAACACATTTTCCCAGTAATCAACCGGTTTCGTTTGGTCCTCGCCCCACCCTTACGCCTTAAGTGGCGAAACTGGCGTG